TCTCCGGATTATCAACCCTTTGCAGGTTATTTAAAGACAGGAAATATTTTTTGATTGCCCGCAAGAAGTTTTGAACAGATAATAATAGTTCAGTGATATACGTCGCACTAATTAACCTATGGTCGGAGGAAGAGGTGGATTCATGCCTTTCGCAAGTAACTATAACAAATTCAATGGGAATTGGAACTCGGCTCTCAGATTAACAATTCCGAGCCATTATCCATTACACCACCCCCACACCCAAGCTTACAGCACCTGGTGTTCCCTTTACGATATTACATGTAACTATTTTTGGTATATTAAAAATTTACCTAAAATAATACGCTTTAAATAACTTTAACCTTTTATGGTTTATTTACAAATATTCTTATCAAAAATAATTAATTAAAAAATAATTAAATAAAAAAATCAATTAATTAAAAAAAATAATTATGTCTTCCAAAAATTAGTCATTATCAATATTAGAATAATGTGTTAAAAATTAGACATTATCAATATTACAAAAATGTGTCAAAAATTAGACATTATTAATATTACGATAATATGTCTAAAATTAACCATTGTTTAAAACTGAATAAAATATAAATAGTTTTACGAAATTTATTAACTTAAAATTTTTATATAAATTCCTTTTTATAAAGATAAAATTATCGGCCACACATAATCGAACAATTTCAAATCCGATGATGTCACGTGGATCTTCTGATTTTGTTTCTATAAGCTTCTCTCTATCCATTGCGCTAACATTTGAGAAGAAACGGTCAGGTTACTCTTGAGAGAAACGGAAGAAAATTCATACGGAGATTATTCTAGTCTGTTAGACAAAACAAACAGGATTAGAAACGGAAATGGGTTCAAAATAAGGCAGTCAAAAAAGAAAATGGTAGATACACTTGTTTTTATGGTAGAATTACCGCTGACACTAGCAATAGAAATACCAGATCTTGTGTTTCCTGAAACATCGCTACTTTAGTTTTATGGCATTCCATCGATAATTGAATAACAGTTGTCGACCAAAATTACCACGTTTCCTACCAAAATTCGACACTGCAGTCAAAGTGTCTGTAAAATAGGAGCTGTTGTAGAACTTTGAAGATAATTTTGGCGAGCAACAGACCAAAAATATCCTCGAAAAAACGTCCTTCTGAAGACTTATGAAGACGATTTTTTAACTTTTTTTTCCTTTTCTTTGAGAAAATTAAAAGAATTTCTTAAAGACACGATTTGTCGCAATTGATATTGTAACAATTTTATGAAAAAATACCTTTGAAATTTAAATAATCTCTTTGTGCTTTTTTTTTATTCAAAGAAAATCATTTGCAAATAAAATCCTTACATGTTCTTTATTTGATTTTGAATTGGTTGTTATGATCTCGAAAGAGAAACGATATGGCTGCAAAGTTCCAATTCAAAGAATAATTTTTAATTATAAGTTCAATCCCTGGATAGAATCAGTGAAAACAGGGTGAGTAATGACTGAATAGAAAGAAATAAGAAGAGTCGAGGAAAAAATTATTGCTTAGATGGAAATTAGTTGGAAGCCCAGTACGAAATCATTCTGTTTGCCCAGAGGTTTCAAAGATAAAAATACAAATGGCCTCCAAAACTTTCAAGTGATAATTCGAGTGGGACTTGCTAAGAATGGTAAATGAGTCTACTGTGAAATTAGTAGCACAATTATTGCTATTTATTAGGTACACTGTATTTGAAATGTCTGAAAGAGTATATTTAAGATCGTGGATCTCTGTTGGGACGTGTTGCTTTATACTGACATCTAGCCTTTAAATCGTTCTCCCTATTTAGTGTGAAGCACAACTATATTTAAATGAATAAATCAAGGAACCATTATGATGTGGATGGAGAACGTCTTTTCCGCGTGGATGGAAGGAAAGCTTGGCAGAAAAGACTACACGAGTGTTAGCAAAGTAGCAATGTCGAACCGCCGAAGAAACCCGCAAAACACCTAATAATATAGCCGTAATGGTGCCGCTAATTTCAGTTTGGACTCATTTACTATTCTTAGCAAGTTCCACTCGAATTACCACTTAAAAGTCTTGGAGAGGACCATTTAGATTTTGTCTTTGAAACCTTCTCTGTGAAAACAGAAGAATTTCGTACTGGGCCTCCGACTAATTTTCATCTAAGCAATATTTCTTTTCTTCTTCCCCCAATACATATTGTTCATCTCATTTTAGTGATAATTCTATATTTATTAATCTCGATTTAGCTCTGTTGAGCGAGGTTCGAAACCGTTTAGCCAGCTCGTTTTTTGTTTTTTTTTTCAGTTTTACCTTTTATCTATTATCATCATGACTGGTAATAAATGTAAATTTTGTCTTTTCATGGCCGTCATAAAAGTTTGTACCACAAATCATTGTTTCATATATATATATATATATATATATATATATATATATATATATATATATATATATATATATATATAATAGTGGTAAATATAAAGTGTGTGTATATGGATATAAATGAATATGTGTATGTGTGGATATGTGAATATATTTTTATATGTGTGTACATGGGTATATGTATGTGTGTATGTGGGTACACGCCTATGTGTATGTATATACGTGTATATGTTATTGTGTATGTGTATTCGCATGTGTTTTTGAACATAGAAATATAGGTCCTTGCTGGATTAGATAATCGTTATATTTATTTTTTATATGTTTATATTTGATTTGTAACCTGTAGTCGATATTAAATTTGTCAAATTTTCTCAATTACAAAGGACCCTTTAAGTAAACGCAATTTTACTTTCCTTCGTCCCATCTCTCTCCCCCACCTCGTCTTTCCCTCCATCTTATTCTAACATTAGATTGTCTATGGTGTGTGTATGTCACCACGAAATGTATCTTTATGCATTAGACATCCGACAACATTCATTTTTCTCTTACTTAAACCCCTTCCACCAACCTCTCCTAAAATTCTCTCTGTTATGGTTTAATCTCCTCCTCCTCATACTTACACTCTCTCTAAATTCTGTTTTTTTATTTCCGGAGTTGTTTTTTCTGTTTTTTTTTGAATTTGTAGGTCTGATGAATTGGATCGTATTTACGATACCAATGGAATAAATTATGACCATGGAATATTAGTGTTTAAACCTTTTTATTATATATATATATATATATATATATATATATATATATATATATATATATATAAATACAACTTTTAAAAATACGGAAATTACAACAAAAATTTCTCAGTGGGTATAATATTCAATAAATCAATAAAACTTCAATTGGCTTATTTTAATTTAAGATAAATCAATTAAACTTTTATTGGTGCATTGAATAGATAGATAGATAGATAGATAGATAGATAGATAGATAGATAGATAGATAGAAGCAGATTAGCATAAAGGGAAAGATTAACAGAGATAGATAGATAGATAGATAGATAGATAGATAGATAGATTAGCATAAAGGGAAAGATTAACATAGATAGATAGATAGATAGATAGATAGATAGATAGATAGATAGATAGATAGATAGATAGATAGTGTTGAAACTTGACTAATGCATGGAATAATAATGCAACACAAAATGTACTTAGAACAAAATGTATTGAAACAAGAAAGTGTACACAATATTTACATATAGTCTTTTGTATATTCCTGGGAAGACCGTTCCTGGAGAATGTGTTGACTTAGTCGCAGTCGGGCAGAGTCTATGGATTGAATCTCTTGATTCCTCCTTCTTTCCCAGTACCAACCATATTTATATGGTCGGTACTCCACTATGCAAATTAGGTGGATCCTACCACAACAGATAGATAGATAGATAGATAGATAGATAGATAGATAGATAGATAGATAGATATTACTGTCGTATGTGTCTCACCTCAGATAATACCGGAATAGACGTTGTACTCAGTGTCCTTCACAGAAGCAAAGTACAGGGTTGACCTCCTGGATCACGGGTAGAGATCACGTAATCAGCCCAGCTCCGCCTGATATATGCACGCTTAGGTAAAAACGTGTGACAGGTAGATCTATAAACACTGATCCGAGAGACATCAAGAGAGTTTCTCTGGCATCGCGCACGAAAATGTAAGGTCTACGTTCAGATGAGGGCCTGGGACCGAACGCATGCGCACACACACAGACACACGCACACGGGGTAATTTTAAGACATCTGGTATTAAATAAAAAGTAATGCGACATATGAGAGACTGAATTTCGTTTTTACATTTGTAATGCCCAACGATAATATTACATGACTATTACTAACCTTGTTCACTTTCTGTTGATGATCAGTTTTAGCATTGATTTCGGTACTTGTAAAATTTCTGATCATTTTCCGGTGTTCCAGTTGTTTTTTATTGATATCTGTAAAAAAATCAGAAAAATGACACAATGATAGTTGAACGAATATCTTTTCAAATCGATTTTCTTTTCAGACTTCGGAACGTATTTATGCAATTCAAATCAAAATTAACGTTTATTTTTCACGTTAATCTCAATTCTTTAAACTGTACTTACCCATACGTTTCGACCGATATTTTCGTCAATCCTTACTCGAATTCAGGCAGTTGGATATGTTTTCATGTTACAGTTGGATTCCAAAGATTCCGACCAAAACATTGTAATAAAAATATCAAGAATGAGAATAAGAAAAAAAAAGCCTCTACGTGGAATAATGGTTGGTGAGTTGGTTTGGGTGATCCCTATTATGGAGTAGAGGTTTCACTCCTTACTGGGTGACCCATGCACACGGCTTTGTACCAAAATAAACTAGACATATTAAATAACAGCCATAAAAAGACAAATACAAATTCTTTGAATAAGGATTCAGTTAAGTCAGCAAGTTTCTGCCGGCTTCTATGAAGAACTCACAAGTCAATGACGTAAGTACGAGGGCCATTCAAAATGTTCTAAGCCTCACCCAGAAAGAAGAACCATAGCTGAAAATTTTTGTTGTGGCAACACACTAATGCTTCTTATAAAACTAGAAAAACTAATTCAGATTTTTGTCTTAATTTCTATGCAGGTGAGACCCATACAAAGTTGAGAGGAGTGCGAGAAATCTTAAAAAATGGACAAAACAGTGACCGGTGCAGTCATAAAGTCTCTTCAAAAGAAAAGTTATGTCACCCAAGGAAATCTATGAGGACATGATACAGACACTTGCTGAGGATTCCCCTTTCTGTGCATCTGTGAAGAAGTAAACTGCGGAAGTCAAGCACGGTAGGACAACACAGAAGAATAACCTGTACCACTGATAAACAAGTTGATGCTTTCACTGTAAGGTCTCGGATGAAGAAGGGTCTTACTGTCTATAGGTATTAGTTAACTAAAATCTTGGAGATGAGAAAGCTGTCTGCAAGATGTGTTCAAAGAATTCTGACACTGGGATAGACATTTCTGAATCGCTTCCAGGCTGATACTAAGAATTTCCACCGCAGATTATTAACTCAAGAGGAAACCTGATTTCATCACTTCGAACCTGAATCCAAGATTCAAAGCTTCTAACATTGGAAATACTCTGGTTCCCCATCCCTAAAGAAGTTCAAGCAGTGAGCGTATGTTGGCGAGGTAATGGCTTCTGTTTTTTTTTTGATTTTTTGTTTTTTTTTGTGGGGGGGGGTCTGAAGGCTTAATCATGATAGACTGCCTGGAAAAGGAAAACTATTAATGGACAGTCTCTATGCATCAGAATTAAGACAACGGAAGGAAGTAAGCAAGTCTAAACGCAGAGGGGAAGCTTTTGCTTCAGGATAACGCGCCTGTTTAACCTGTTCAGATTACAGTAGCTGAAGCAGCCAACTATGGCTTTGAATTGCTACCCCACCCCACTTACCAAACTTAGCTCCATCTGAATTCTTACTGTTTTTTAAACTCAAACTTCACTTGTGTGGTTGCCATTTTGGAAACAATGATGATATATGTCTTGAAGGACCAGAACCCTACTTTCTACCCTGACAAGATTGCAATGCCAAAGCATCATTGGACCAAGTACATTGATGTCACGGGGGGGGGGACAAAATTGACAAATAGTGAAAAACTGTCTTGTTTCTTCAATCGCTTCTGGGTAAGGCTTAGAAGCTTTTGAACGAACCTCGTATGTGTGATCTTTTTTTTTTTTTAAATCAAGACCAATGGATGTAAATCACCTTCAAGAGTTGAATTTGGTTTCCAGTTTGGAGAGAGTTTTCATCAACTGTTGGAATTCGTACCCTTTCCAAATTTCCTGCCACTTCTCACCTGTGGCAGGAAATTTGGAAAGGGTACGGGAAAAAAAAAGCTACCAATTATCGATCGGTGAAGATAAATATTAACTTCTAAGCATATTTTGCTTATTATTATTAATATTAAAGTTATTAGCAAATGCAGTTGTATTACTGATATGGTGTTGAAGATTTACATACTTTCAAATGAATTAAACAAAGATGGATTAAATCCGACTGAATGATTAAATAAGTAACAAATGAGAAAACGATTATAATTTTAACATGTTTCGCTTTTATTTTAGTTTCATCGGAAACTTTTTGGAACGCTAACTCATTTCCAATTTATAAACGTTTTCATGTTTGTTTCGTATTTAATCACAATTTCAGATGATAGCAATATACGGAACTGATGAGAAATAAAGACGGAAATTTTGTATCTATAATTAAAACTGAGAGAAACTTCAATGCTTACATAAAGATAGTTAAAATGTAGCTGAGAATGCCATGATAGATAAAAACATATTCAAAGAGAGAAAGAGAGAGAAAGAGAAAGAGAGTTGAAAAAATAGACTGTTGATGATACTTACCATGCTCATATTGTTTCTGAATATATTTCACAGCGTTATATTCATTCTGAAAGTCTCTCTGAAGTCTCTTCAAGCCAGTATTCTCTTGTTTGTGTTGCCAAATCAAATCCTAAGAAAAGAAACCATTTTTTGCCAGATGAACGTTGAATCCTGGAATTATATCTTCGAATAAATAAATAAATAATTGGTTGCTTGTTATTCATACAGATTATATAACGTATTTTGCAAACACAACACTAAACACACAGAAAGGGCACTTCAAAAATAGCTGAGGCGAGTGTTCTGTATACTACCGCTATTAGTTTTAAAAAAATCATGCATTTCTTTTATAGAGAAAAATGTTTTTAAATACAATGTTTGCAATGGATTCTTAATTAAAGCAAATGTGTGTATTTTTTAGATGCGAAATTATCATTATTATATAATTTGCTAATCCAAAATACTATGACTCAGTACATTAAACTGCTAGTTAAAGCCAGCTTGGTTCTTCCTAGTTGTGAGTTCAATCCTGTCTTAGCTACTCTAGTTTAGTGGAAGAATCAGACAAGCGACATAACTATGGATCAAGCTGGCATGAAATATCGTATAAGGATGGTGGAGGAGATAAGAATCGTCTAACTACGTAAATTGATATATTCAATTGGACACTATGTTACAAGTATTAAAATATCCTATATAGTAAAATATCATTGTATTTATTTGATAAATATATAAATGGGCGTATTTTTAGAGTATTTAATCAGATAATATGAAAAACTGTTTTGCAGTAGGTTTTTCTTCTATTTTCTATCAAAATCATTGATCATCATTTGTCAGGTTTTGCAAATGAGAAAATCTTCAAGGGAGATAAATTATAATTGATTATTTGATTTTCCTAATTCTTCAGGATTAAATTTCTTGGTCAAGATTTTCACAATCTCTCTGTCGTAAATGAATTTTCTTTTTCAAAATTTTCTGCGACTAATTATAGCATCCTTGCTTATTTTAATTTCTTTTCTAACTTTTCTAACAATCACAAGTTTATCATGCAATAATTCTTTACTAAAATTTGTGACACTGATTTCACCGATTAAGATTTTAATGATCTACGCTTATCTCCATGGATTAAAATTCTTTCCTCTGGTTTCTAAGACTGATTTTTCATGCAAACAAGATTTTCGTAATCAGTCTTTTTTCTTCATAGATTAAAATTCTTTCTTCCAATGTCTAGCAACTATAATTTTTGGCAACCCACTAACACATGTTAAAATCCTTACAATATTTAATATTGTTGAAGTTATTGCTAACATTTTTGTCCAGATTTACAAACTCTACGCTTCATTCAATTTCGCAAAGCAATTGATGGAATTTGAACAAGCTGATTTGTTTGGAGAAATACTTTAACAAAAACCTTACTTCGCGTTTTTTACGCACCCTAGTAAAATCAACTGTACTTTGTACTCTCTTACCTGTTTGCACTTCTCCCCAAAACTTGGCTTCGATCAGTCAATGTAAGGCTATTTTAAAGGGTGTGACGGACGGACTAACAGAAGTCAAAGATTTTATATATAGATAGATGGATAGGGCACCTCATGGTGGTGTAATGATTAGCAAGCTTGTGTCGCTAGAACATTTATGACTGAGTAGTGAGTTAGATCCTCACAGGGCGTCCCATACTTTCGGCCTTGTACCACGTCTAAGCTACGCGTGGAAAATCACTATAGATAGATGGCTATCGACGAGATATTCATAATTTGTCTATTCTCTTCGTAGATTAAATTGAAGTTTTCCAGGATTTATAATGACTTCACATAATCAACATTTGTATAATTTGGGTATTTTATTTTGTAAATTATCATCTTTCCTCCGGTTTGACTAACATTTTCATGACCATGTTATAATCTCTACATATTCTTCGTTAAAATTTTCTCTCCTGTTTTTCTTTTTTTTTTTCTTTTTTTCTTTTTTGGGCTCTGAATATTATTTAAGTGATAAAGATGTTCTTAATTTATCCCTTTTCTTCGTCGTCTGAAACGTTGATTTGATTGTCTGTCGTGAAACACTCGTAATCCTTATAATTGTTGTTCCATATGGGCAGACTTCTCCCAGATTCCCACGAATTGTCACTGCAATACGGTTTTGCTTGAAAAAACATTAACAAGCAAACATATATCATACTTTGATTCAATATCTAAAACCTTGCGTGTCTCAAGCGAAATATGTTGATTGGATTTCCATTCAAAATCCTATTTTACTGACTATTTTCTTGATAGAATTGGCGTCAAGGTGGAACAAATTGGATTTGAAATTGTTGGATCCGCTGACACAGCGTTATACACACAGACACACACACACACACACACACACACACACATTACACACATTACACACGCGCACACACACATATATATATATATAACGTTGTCTAATCTGCCTGTTGAATAACCTTTTTTTCTGTTGTTCTACTTTGAAAATAATAGACTTTATCATACAGATTTTTCTATTGAATGTAGCGTTTTCCTTTATACTCGAATTTCTGATACCAGGAGCATCCACATACACACACACACACACACACACACACACACACACACCTATTTCGCTTGAAGATGGAACAGAGGTTAGTACTTTAATTCAATTTAATTCAAATAATTATATTGAAGTTTTCGGCTCTTGTTTTGAAACATGAAAACTCTTATGTAGCGTTGGAATCATATTTTTAAATAAATAATTATATTTAGGCTCTACTTTTGTATCGAGCACTATTTTTTAAAAATAAAAACAAAAATACTAAAGAACTTTGTATTATTTACCTAACGAGTTCTTTTTTCTATTTTCTATATATTTTACACACACACACACACACACACATATATATATATATATATGTGTGTGTGTGTGTGTGTGTGTGTGTATGCAGAAATATAGTTTTAAAGTGTGCTGTATTTAAGGGATAAAGTACTCAATATCAGAGAGCGTATGTAAATATAAAAGTGAACATTGAAGTCAACACTCAGAGGTGACAGGCTGTTTCATCGTAGACGCAATCGTCAGGCCGCTATATATATATATATATATATATATATATATATATATATATATGAGATAACGATATCTAACTTTTTATATATCAAAAACAATATTGCAGGAAAACGTATGACAAAGTGGATAAAGGTTTTGGTGTGACGCGTTTCGTTCTTTAGGACATCATTGATTAAAATTTAAAATTCCCATCATCCCTCATCTCAGCATATGTAAATCCACAACATGTATAGTCGCACCAACATGACAAATTTAGTCCGATGAAGTTATAAAGGAGGAATCGCCTCACACGAAAACTTTTCTTACTCTTTGTCACATATATATATATATATATATATATATATATATATATATATATATATATATATATATGTGAAAAAGAAAAAATCCTTATATTTACTTTGATAAAGTCCCTCACAGGACGAAACGGGTAAGATAAGTTTTCCTTATCTTTTTTCATATTGTCCTTTTACCCTTTTACAGATATACTCTATCTGAAATTTCTGCATATATATATATATATATATATATATATATATATATATAGGCCAGACGATGGCGTCTAGCATGAAACAGCTTGTCGCCTCTAAGTGTTGACTTTAACGTTCACTTTTATATTTACATACGCTCTATCTATGATATTGAGCACTTAATCTATATATATTTATCTTTATCTATCTTTATATATAAATATAACACACCTTAAAACTATATTTCTTCATATATATATATCTCACGGGAATAACGCTGTATTGTATATTGAGTCAACGTTTAAAATTATTATAATTATAATTTAATATTGTGGCTATAAATGGAAAAAAATAGTGCGTGAATAAGGAAATAACGCAAAATAAAATAGAATAAAATAGAAAATCCGTTAAATTTAAATGTAAATGATCAAGCATTGCAAGAGGGGAAACTTTACGTATCTGAGGATAAGAGAGACGAAGAAGAAATAAGAGGAAAGGAGTGGAAAAGAAAAAGAAAAAAAAGAAAAAAAAGAAAGAAAGAAAAAATAGGCAGAAGATGAAAGATAGAATTTGTTATATCTCGTGCAAGATATAATAAACAAAGTAAACCCGAGTGTGGTTTTCAATAATAATTTTATAATCGGATGTAGGTATGTCAAAATACAGAGACAGAGTCAGGAGTAAGCTAACCGCAATAGGTGTGAACAAACGAAGACCTTTTTTTTTTCACTGTCCGTGGTGGTCGTACTTAATCGGCAACCAGTCCGTCCATTATCGTGAATGGGGGAAGTTGGGTTATCTCATCACCACAGAATTAAAAGTGGAATAAGAATAAATATAAATATAAAGTTAATATTGAGTTAATGTGAAATAAATATAAAAGTAAGAAGATGAAAACTAAAATATAAAAATTATAAATATTTTCCTGAATATTTTTTTTCCTTATTTCTCTGAGATCCCAATTCCTAAAATGGTAATAGAAGAAATGAATTGATGTTTACACAACTATTTTATGATTTTCTTTGCACCGACATTTCGACATTGCATTTTTTCACCTTCAGGGATCCGTGATTAGCTTCATTTCCTTGTTTTGTTTTCTATGTTACGATTTTTTGCCATGTCTGGCACAAGGTCACAAGCCGATTAGGTTCCTCGTTTTCTTCTTCTTAAATCTGCTGCCACCATTTAAAAACACCATTGTTTATATCCACATATGTTTAGATGCTGATATAAAATCATAGACATTTTTTTAATATACGTTTATCTTTATTACTAATATTTACTAAGCTTTATTCAGTATGGCACAAGGCCACAAATGTCAGAGGTATACAGAAAGGATCGACATAACGATATGAGTAATTGTCTATGAGACAAGCTCTGTAACTATTGCTCCATTTCACCCCAAGCAAGGCGGGAATGCCTCTACTACGCAAGGGGGGGGGGCTACAGAAAATGAAAGTGAGAGAAAAGACTGGGGACTGAGGAAAGGATAAAATATAAACGGGCTTCAAGAAGATAGAAGGTGACAACTGACGTTGCATTTAAATTTTTGAAGCAAATAAACGAAAGTTCCACAAGCGGGAAGTGCGAGAAAAAAAACTATTTAAGTAGAAGTTGTATTTAACTATTTCAACAGTAAAAGGGTGGGACCTAGGTGCGAATCTGTTAGCATTCCTGTAGTTTGGACACCAGGCAAGAAAGCTCGTCAAAGCAGTTGCCGTGAAAATAGTTGTAGAAAAGACAGAGAGAAGCATATTCGAGGGTGTGCTGAAAAGTTATTAGCCTGAACCAATTTTCTCGAAACATCAAAATTTATTTTGAAGTCTCTTCTTGGTCAATCCAAAAACCTTCCAGCACTCTCTCGTAAATTATTTTCATAATAATAATAATAATAGCTACTTCCCAAAACGAGTTATCTCCTCTTCTCCCTCCCACCGAGTTGTAGTGGCAAGCTTATAAACAACGTCCATTTTCTAAAATGTTTTTCACTGAAATGGTTCGCCTTCAAACTTTCCAATTCACTTTTATTTTCTTTCTTAATGCCAGACGACACGGGCGGAGAAAAGGAAATCGATCGAAATGTCTTATGACATCAGAGTGCATTTCAATTAACTTGTAAATATATTCGGTGAAATAAAACCTGTCAATGATAAATACCGATGGAACGAAACGCAAGGAGAAAATTTTATCAATTTCGATGTTGCAAATGATAGAACACAGGAAGCATTTCTATTTCTTTGTCCTCGTTTTCCGTAAATGGAAGCTAATAAAATAAAGAAGATAGAAATAAAACTATTTTTTTACTGCCAAATACGAAGCCAGAAAAGAAAAAAATAATCTGATTCAATAATGATTATTGTTTTCTATGAAGAAAAATAAAGGTGTATTGGGCTTCTTTCTCACAAGTGCCAGTTTGAAAGACTGGATTTTCGATTGGGAAGAGGACATCGCCACTCGAGATTGATAAAACAAGATCTTTTTCCTTATGTCCTTTTCTTCCTTACTTTAGTAAATACCTAGAATTTTGGAAAAATATGCACGCTATATTGGACCTTTTTTTCCCTCAATGAAAGTCATTCAAAACGAGGCTGATTTTCTCAGTAACAAATGAGAATTACTTACGCTGGTCATCTCCGTTTGGTCTGTTGGCCGCTTTTGAAATGGCTGGGTGGTGGGAAGGTCAGATGCTCCTTTGCCACATTCGCCTGGAATTTTGTAAGTCAAGGGCAACATGATCTCTGGAAATATAAAATATCGATCTTAAATTTGTAACTCGAATCAAAAGAATACTAGTGAATTAACATTTTAGATAGATAGATAGATAGATAGATAGATAGATAGATAGATAGATAGATAGATAGATATGAACAGACTGAGATAGATAGATAGATAGATAGATAGATAGATAGATAGATAGATAGATAGATAGATGAACAGACTGAGATAGATAGATAGATAGATAGATAGATAGATAGATAGATAGATAGATAAGAACTGAATGGATTATACAAAGACAAAAACAAAAATTTGATTTAATAATTTCATGATGCATTTTATTTGATAAAAAATTCTAACGTCAGTTTTCACTCTGACGATTTATAACACAGGTAAAAATTAAAAACTAATAATAGCCCGTCAAGGAAATCTTTTCCAGCCCAAAACACACAATACAAACCTTAAATTAAAAAAAAATGAAATTGTTTTTTTCAACCAATGAAAATCTTGAAAAATAATTAAATAAACATATATCTGGGCTACTTTTTTTTTTCTGGAAGCCGATCTTTCTGGAAATATAAGGGGATAGACAAAATAAGAAACCGAGTTAGCTAAATCGTCCAATTAAAACTCTGTTTTACCCGAGCCTAGGCACCTCTCTTACCATCCTGAAAAGGAGAAAACTGGCATCAAGGGAAAACGATTTAAATCATAAATGATAACATAAAGAAAGAACTTTTACAATTCGACTTTTATTGCACTCTTCTTTTCATAAGTGTCAAATAAACTCAAGCTAACTTCATGTCATAGAAGTCGAATGAATGCCAATATATGTTCCTTGCCTACACACAAAAGAAATGGACATTCAGAGACAAAACTTTAATCCATTTCTTTTTTATTCCAACTGTTTTAAAATCCAAACAATATAATAATGTAATTAGATATATTTGTTATTTATTATATGCTCTGGTGTAAGTTGTATTTTTGTTTTTGATTCCCATTTACAAATACGTGAAAGACTTTATTGTTAATCATTTCACCCAAAGCAAGGGGATGAAGCCACTAAGACGTAAAGAGTTAAAAATGAGAAAGTGTTGACTAGAGAGAGGACATTAAAAGATCAATATTCAACGACTTTTCTTCACGTTAAACTGCCAATAAAAACTCTGTCAGCTTCCAGCTAAACAGGTGTTTCAATTAAAACGACAGATAAAGATCTTTTCTTTTAGCTTAATTTTTTTGCTTGCGTTCAAGGGAGAGCGTGTATTTTGGTGCAATGTCGGTAGATATTGTTTAAATGTTTGTGATGAAGCGTTTTCAAGTCTGCTTTTAGTCATTTTCAGGATATGGGATGATGTAGACTTGTCATCTTTGTCATATTCAAATAATGTTAAAATTCAAAATGGTTGTTATGCTTTTTGTTGATGTCAGAGTCATATGACTGGTAAGCGAGATTCTTCATTCACTCAATAATTGTCAGGCTACGGATCGACTTGTCCACTTTCATAGGAGATGCTTGCTTACTTGAAAGCAATTTATATCAAACAAGTTTCGTGTATTCGTCTCTAGTTTAATGAATTTGATGCTCGACTAATATGACCTTGTGTCATATTTATTTTAAGTCGCTTCATTATGGATAAATGGTCAACGGTCTCACAGACAATTAGTATTCTCGTAAGTTCGATTCCGATTATGGCCAAGTGCCAAATTAAATTTGGTACCTTAGGAAAAAATAAATATCAATATGGAAAATTCACGAAAGAATTATACGTCAATTCTTGAAAAGAAAGAAAGAATCTAGTAAGGGAGACAAAAGGTAGAAAGAAAATAGCAAATAAGCGGGTGGTAAAGAAAGAAAGACGTGAATAAGTGATAACAAAGAAAGAAAGAAGAAACAATCAGGACAATTAGAAAGAAAGAAAGAAAGAAAGAAAGAAAGAAAGAAAGAAAGAAGCTAATAAGAGGTGGCAAAGAAAGAAAGAAAGAAAGAAAGAAGAAAATGAAAGAAAGGAAGAAGCTAATAAGAGTTGCCAAAGAAAGAAAGAAAGAAAGAAAGAATTGTAAACAATTTTCTTTTCAGTTAATAACCTCTGAACCCTTTTCAAATTTCTTCTGTCACATTTTGAATTGGCTTAATAAGCAGGGATATCCAAAAACTCAGCGGGCGAAACGTTTTCAGTTTGGTAAGGCGCTTTTAGCCAAATATGATTTCGAAACGTTCTCTTCTTGAAAATATTCAGATGAATGTCAATTAATGACGGGCCAATGCGTCTGAATAATTCTCGCTTATGCCACGGGATTAGGGAATCAGAGTTATTTTTCACCGATTTTCTCGAGTATGAAAACGCAAATGAAATATTTAGAATGGCAATGATTAAATATCTTGCATAATTCCGACATTATGATCGCTTGTGGCGGCCATATTATCGGAATTATCCTACAGAGAAAGCTGTGAGACTCCTCCAGTCAGTTAGCATGCCAAAAGAAAAATGCAACAAAACCTACGTCCTCAGGGCTTTATGGCCATCTTTTCAACTCTCTGGACCATTTCAAACCAAGCGTTGAGTGTCTAGGAAGATGCTCATGTTTGTCTGTTTCCAAAACAAGGAAACAACGATGAACTTCACAACTGGAAGTCATAAACTGGCCGAAGGGCGCTTCGCCTGACATTTTCTTGGATCAAATGAAATCATCGGATTTAAGAAATCCTTAAATTCTCCACAAGAAGCCGGGACTAGTTTAACGAAAACAATCACAAAATTTAAAAATATACTGGATTGCTGCCATATATGATCTGGGAGCCCCATCTATTTGTCTCAAGGTCCTTGATAAAATCCAAAGATGGATATGCAATGTAATTGGCCCTGATCTGGCATCTCATCTGCAGTCGCTCTCTCACAGACATGCCGTTGCCTCCCTCTGTCTTTTTTACATTCACGGTAACTGCTCCGATGAGCTGCTTTCGCGGGTTCCCAGACTTCATGAATTTAAGCGTTCAACTAGGCTGTCAATCTCGCTCTCACCCTTTCACTGTCGAAACTGTTAAATGTAGCCGTCTCTTCTACTCCAATAGCTTCATGTCTCGCACTTCTCGCCTGTGGAACTCTTTCCCCAGTTCTTGTTTTTCTGATAACTATAATCTCCAACTATTCAAATGTAATGTCAATCGACGTCTCCAGATGCCCTGATCTATCCCCTATCCTTCTCTTCATCATCCTTTCCTTTATCACTCCTCTTTGCTCTCACTCCAACTCTCTGTAACCCCTTGCGTGCTAGTGGCTTCCCGCCTTGCTTGGGGTTGAATTCTTAAAAAGAGAGAGAGAGAGATTCGCACATCAGACACAATTCGCCCATCCCTCATTCCCGCCTATGACAACTACTTTTTACCGAACATGCGACCCCCTCCAACTCGATCTCCGCACTATATAAAATGAGTAATGGACAGCCTTTGTGTAGATATAAGCAACTACAAGGTCTTTTGTCGGCCACTAAGGTCAGTATACGGTATTACCAGCCAAATCAGAAACACTGGCGTAGCGAGACATTATGTTCCAAACGAACGGTATGGATTCTTTCACATTCTTCATTTGTGATCGCTTAGGTTCAAATGATTGATTCCCTCGCGTAACAGGAAAAACTAGAACGGAATATGGCATCAACACCACAAGGAGTTTCAAATGCAATCGGCCAACAGAATATAGGTGCAGGTCTTGACAGCATCATTGTGGAGATGCGAAAACATGGAAGTCCTTCTCTGCATAAAAGGTTCCATGAATTCTTTGTCTGCTACTGGAATCAGGCAACATATTTCAAGATTTCAATGAGACTTTCTTTAGAACAAAATAAAAGAGTAACTTCGTATAATTCAAACTCTCAGGATATGACATATGGTATTAGATAAGACATCTGGCATTATATTCTGCACAATACCAGATGTGCAGCTGGTGTAATGGGTAGAGGCTCAGAATGAGAAAACGGAGAGTCGAGTTCAAATTCCAGTCGAGTTTGTTACATTCACTTACGCCCAAATACTGCTGAAATATGAATCCATCTCCCCAGGCATGGGTTAAACAGTTGGACTTTTATCTGGAAAAATCATTGTTATTCTCAAAAAATGTAATATTCACTCACGCAGTTATTCTTACAAACCTGATTTAAATAAGCTCGAAAATGGTTGATACACCGTAAAAAAAAAAACAAATCAATCAGTCCATTTGCTAAATACGTTAATGTTGAAACTTGACTAATGCATGGAATAATAATGCAACACAAAATGTACTTAGAACAAAATGTATTGAAACAAGAAAGTGTACACAATATTTACATATAGTCTTTTTGTATATTCCTGGTAAGACTGTTCCTGGAGAATGTGTTGACTGAGTCGCAGTCGGGCAGAGTCTCTGGTTGAATCTCTTGATTCCTCCTCTCTTCCCGCTACCAACCATATTTATATGGTCGGTACTCCACTATGCAAATTAGGTGGATCCTACCACAACAGTTAATAACTGGAAACCTATTTGCATTTAGAGTTAATTGTGAAACAACTGACATGGTCTTCGTTTTGAGGTAGATTCAAAAACAATTCCGGAAAAAACAAAAAACAAAAAAAACCCAAAGGGGGTTGTATGTCATTTCTGTTGTCTTGTCAAAGAAATTTGAAACCGTAATCAAGTTGGGTCTCTAGAAAAATTCCAGACAATCTCCGCTACCCACCAAAGTTTCTCAACATATTTACGCAGCATTATCCATATTCGGATATAACAGCGATTCCACTAAATCTTCCTCAATAGTAAACGGTGTCAATCAAGGTTGTCTGCCTTCCAAATTGTTCCCATTATTCTTTCGAGTGATTTTTTTCTAAACGGTTACCGTCAAGCTGGAGAGGAAACTGGCAAATGTAAACTAAACTTTGGGTAAAATGTACAAATGTACTTGGAAAATCAAAACATCAGGAAAGAGACAATGCACAAAGGTCTACAAAACTATCGGGCTGTTTGTTCTTCTTTATGAGCCGAATCTTGGGTCATATATGCTATGAGCGGCCTCTGTGACAGAGATGGAAGGCTGTCGTTCTCCAAAGACTCTTCTATTCAAAGAAGTAGTCTCTGGACGGCAATGCAGAGGAGCAGCAAAAAAAAGTGATCCAGGCGCTCCTTTGAAAGAACTTTTGAAATGGACTGACACCGGTGGACAACAGCCGCTAACGACAAAGAAGCATATCTTCAGTTCCAAAATAAATGGCAAAACAAATGCAGAAGAGACAAAGGGCATAAAGCCGGAACTCTTTTTGTTTGTCATACCTCCTTCTGCAGCAGCTACGATAAAATCCGCCTGTCTCATGGTAAACCTCGCTAGTCATCGGAGGGCCTAAACTAATCATGGAAAATCTTTCTAAATCTCCCATCACCAAGCCAGACTATAAAATATAAAACGCTGTTTTGAAGTTATTGGTTTGTCAAGCAACTATTTTCGTCTTCTACTTTTTAAATTCAATTTATACTTTATGAATTAATAAATATAGATAAAATTATTCAAATGTTGGTAAATACATTTTGGAGAAAATATTAACTTGATGGATGTCGGAAAATACTTCCTGAATAATTTCTTGTAGGAAAATGGTGCAGCTTCCTTTTTTAATTTAGTCCATTAGCAAAATAGACGAACAGGTGTTTCTTTAATTTAGGAGAAAATATTATTTAGCCTTAATGATATTCTTTAGAGTCGAGGCATGAAAGATTTCTGTGTCTTCATTGAATTTCTTTTTTATTTCTTTTTTCTTTTTGTTTCGTTCCCATAACGTTACTTTCGACACTCGAAAAAGCTATGACCGTTGATTTAGATCGGAATTTCACAAATAGCGAAACCCAGGGGTTCATTCACTATAATTGCTTATAACTAAACAAAATTCTGATTCTTCAAAGAAAAGACGAGCTCTTTTTCCGCCTTTTCAATGATGACACTTGTCGAAGCCCTCAAAACTGACAAGTACTTTTTTTTTCTACGTTGCCATCTCATAATAGGCAAAACTGACGCTTACACTTCACGATGTATTTGAAATCATTTTTAAATCTGTTGAGATCAAATTATATAAAACCAAGAACTCTTGGAACTTAGAGTCACAGAATAAAACAATGAACCGAAGGGAATTTATCAATCGTGTTTCTACAAAATATCCAAAATAAATGTGAAGTACAAGCACGAAGAACGCTATTTTTATTCTAATTGTTCACCCAATGCAAAACATCAAGAGTCACTCAAGGTAGAAGGTTGTTGTATGTCCGCAAGAAGAGGAGATAAAAAGTGCCGTTTCATGAGGATATGTAGGAAAGATAATAGTTAACAGTAGACATGAAGTGGTTAAGAGCCACTCAAGGTAGAGGCTTACTCAATGAGGTCGTTGTATGAGCGTAAGAGGAAGGGGGTAAGAAGTACAGTATGAAGATATGTATGAAAGATTAATCGTGGACTTGAAGAGGTTAAGATTGCAGCGATCAGGGAAGCACCCTCTCGAAATAAAAAGTAGCGGTTCTTGGAAAGGAGCTGTCTGAATGGGTCTTCCTCCTTACATATGGAATACGAAGGGAATGGAGATTGGTCCCAGACTACGTGACATGTCGGGTCTTAGATGTGAAGGTCTGAACTGGTGGAACGAAGGAATGTAACACGTCTGAACATTTGCCATGGAAATAGCGATGAAGTAGCACAAGCGTTGCAACAATGTGTCTGTTGGATTATAAAATGGAAAGCAATTCGTCAGGCACAGAAAATGGCCGAATAACCGCGACTTTTGAACTGAAAGGCGAGGACTGAGTAGCTCTAGGTTTATTTGAATCAAATGTGTTTGTGGCTAAGTCGATTTTTCAGGCATTAATAAAAGAAAAATGTTAGATTAGTCTATATTGACAACCAAGAAACTTGACAGTCTAGTGGATATGCCACTGGCGGAATTTTTCAGTGTTGACTTAGCAGAAGAATACAAGCTAAAGCCTAACTCCGATTCGCCATATTGGTTTTATA